TTTCTATCCAGTCCTGGAAGAGCTCAGACAAGAGGCCCCTCAGTATTTTGAGGTCCTCACTAAAGTACCAGTTTCATTTCAGAGACGACATTACATGAAGTGAGCCTTTACAGTACAAAAATAAATTAAATATATGTAGTTAGCATTTTGATAAATTGCCGTTATATTTTAGTACTCATTAATTTTTATTTATTATAGGAATGACGTTGAGACCCCATCTGATATGAGTATATCACGCCCACACATCCAATTAGACAGATATGGAGAGGTATAAGAGGATTATTAATACAATACTTACTATGAGTTTTTAATACACATACCCACTATACGTAATACACGTAATTGTATTCTAATACTTGTAGGTTGCTGCTGTGAATTGGAACACTCATCACCAAGAACCTGTATTGCTGGATGATCTGGTATTTATTATAAGTTTCATTTCTATTGTATTATTGTATCTCATTCCTTGCAGGATCTACTGGATAGCTATTATAAAGCTTTCTTATACATGTCAAGGAAAATTGAGAGCTCAAAGTATCATGTAAGTGTCTTAATTATACTGTTACAATCAATTTTTGATCTTAATTGCTTAGTTAAGTTCTATTATTATAACGATTATATTTCTGTAGCTGGAGCACTGTCTGTTACCTGGACAAATCATTGCATTCAATAATCGTCGTTTTCTACACTCCAGAAACTCATTTCAACTGAACGGTGGATTCAGAAATTTTCATGTACAGTACAATGCACACACAAACACATGTATAGTAGTATTGTAAAACATTATCTGTGTGATTGTACTTGTGTACCAATGACACGTTTAAAATTTAATAGTTATACATTTATTAGTACATATAACTGAATATACTGCTCTCTTTTCATTATGTAGACTACCTATGTGAACATTGATTACCTCAGAAGTCAGTTCCTTGTACTTGGAAAGGCTTTGGGTTTTAATGAGAGCCCAAAAAACATTTTTATGTCTACTCTTTGAATCTTTGTACTTTTTATAATAATCAAATAATTTTTATTGATGCTAATCAGATTTTTTATTATTATAAAAATAAGAAATATTAAAGCATCTAGGCCTCATCAGTAAAGTTTTACAATCATCAAAAATAATTCAATATAATAGGAATATAAAATAACAGTCACAGCATCAATAGTCAAAACAAAAGTTCTAAAAAATTGTATACAAGTGGCAAAAATAAAGTATTATTTTATAAACTTTGTAAAATAATTATAAAAATAGCACACATCACACACGTACAAAAACCATACAAAATTAGTTGGAAGCATGCTCTGCAGCCTCTGCATTAGTGGTAAGATGCTTCATGACATCTTGAGCCACTGCATAAGCTCCAATAGCATCAGACTGAAGTACCTTAATGACAGTAGCCCATGTGTATGTGTCAGGATCATTGTCCTTCCATCTGTTAAAAACAGCAATGAATCTATCAATGGGATCATGATAATCGACATAAAGACTCCTTAAGAAACCATCATCCGAATGAAGTACTGTTCCAAATTGATAAAATTTGTCTTGAATCTTCACTGCTACCAAGTTAATAAGATCAACCATATCAGGTGGAGAGTCAACGTCTATAAGGGTATGATAAAATTGTATGAAAAATTTAGAATGCTAATTTACTTGGTATTTTGTGTTGAATGCCCTCAAAATTGAGATGGTATTTATCACAGAGCTTACAATAAATTCCCTTATAATGGTCTTCTTTATCTTCTGGACCTGGTTCAGGTGTAGAATGAGATTCAAAATGATTCTTGACTCTGTGTGCTAAATCTTCAAAGCCGATCTTGGCCAAAGCTGCTGCTAAAGGCTCCCATGATTCTGATCTATTCTCACTTCTCCAGTGAATTAAAACTTTTCTAGTACGTTGGATGGGATCAATGCTTGTTAGTTCAATATCATGAAGTTGACCAATAGTAAAACCCAATACATATCCAAGATCAAACCATTTTTCTTGTAGATCTCCTTCACTTGCAATAATGCGAAGACAGTCTCCCAGTAATGAATCATTGCTAAAATTTAAGACAACAGTAAAATTAATTTTAAAACAAGACACAGTCACTATCCTTGCCAAAACAAAAAATTGTTTACATGACTATAGGTACCCTTTACCCTTTAAATATAAAAGTACCAGTAATTTTAAAAATAAAACTATGATGCAACAGTGCAGCTAGAATAGTTACCCCGGCATGATTCATAGAGATCTCTAAAAATTACTAATGTACAATTATACTGGACCTGCATGTCTAGACACTTTATTACTTACATGTAACTACTTAAGGTATTGGATGGGTCCTTATTGGCTTGATGTGATTCCACATTTATTGTTAGCCTATCCAACTGTTCCTTAATTTCTTGATAAAAAACCTTATGATCCTTTTCTTTTTTATCTAGTGTCTGTTCACTGGATATTTGCTGGTCCAGTTTCAAGGTATCTCTATTATTAACTATCAGTGACACTGTACAATAAAAATAAATTATTAATAAATTGTACCTTTTATTTTATGCATCAATTCTTCATTTTCTTCTCTTTTATTTAGTGTATGTACACTCATTAATGATATCTGTCCTTGTAGTTCAGCTATTTCTCTCTTAATATCTATTAATGATTCATTCTGATCCAGCAAACCTATCATAGAATTATACTACACTAACACATACATTATGATTTGGTACCAGTTTTATTTGTTAATATTTGTTCTATTTCTGTTCTCATTCCCTTTATGATTTTGTATGTTGCTGCAATAAAAATACAATAAATTATAATACAATAATAAATTTCTGACCTGAAGTAGAATCTGTATGACATTTAATGCGGTATTCTTTTTCA